TTGCAGCAAGAAGGTTTCTGGTTCAATTCCCAGACTGGGGTCTTTCGGCATGGAGTTTGCATGTCCTTCCTGGTGCATGCGTGGGTTCTCTCCGGGTACTCCGGCTTCCTCCCATGGTCCAAAAACATGACTGTTAGGATAATTGGCTTCTCTAAATTCTCCTTAGGTGTGAGTGTGTGTGAATGGTTGTTTGTCTCTGTGTTGCCCTACAATAGACTGGTGATCTGTCCAGGGTGTACCCCACCTTTTGCCCATTGACAGCTTGAGATAGGCACCAGTGCCCCTTGTGACCCCAGCAGGAAGGAAAATTTATGTTTGGTTTACCAGATCACATCTTTCATATAGTTTCTATTTTTTTTGTCATTTCCCAGGACAACTTTCCCAAAGATCCTCCATATTTTTTGGGGAAATGTAGAATACGGTACTTCTCTTTGTCTAGATTGTGACACAGTCTGTTGCTTTTAAGATTATTTCTAGATCTCTTTATCTTTACCAGGAGAGCCAATAATGGTTAAGAAATGTAAGCTATGTGATTGTATTGCTGATGACTGGATGAGGAAATGAGTATGTTGTTTAGAAAGGATACCAGTGAGGAAAGATCTCTATCTGCGACTTTTAGGGAGTTTTTTTTTTTTGCAGAAAAGAATCAAGAAATAGAAAAATATGTATGAAAAGTTAGAATACACATTATCAGAATTCTGAGGTTGACCTAGATGCATTTAAGATGCCTTGGAAGATAAGGCAAGCACTTTTCTTAATGCAGTATAGTCACTGCATTAAGAAAATCAATGACTTCTTACAAATCCCAAGGAAATGATACCACCGTGAATATATATTCAGATTGACATTACCATGAAATATAAGAACTTTTGTTATTGTGTCATGTCTCTACTGTCTAGTTTGCTTTTAAAATATTGTAATTCTTCTTTTTTTAAATATCATTAATTTTCCCAGCATTATACAAAAAGCTTTCACACTCATTAATTGACTTATGCTAATTATGACGCCATCTCCTCTACAGAGTTTGTATTTTTTTTTATGAGGTGAAGTTGAAGGACCAATCGTTTATACAAAGTCAATGGCTTGTATGACCAAATGTGGTAAAATAGTTCCTCGCTGCATTAATCAGAAATGGTAAATGGACTGAACGTATATAGCACTTTATCAAGTTCTAGAATTGATAATTTGTTAATTAATCTATTATATCGTGGCAAACTACATTAAAGCCACAGCTTCCAAGACTAGCAGAAGCAGTTGGCAACACTGGGCCCTCCTGACTGGTTGTCCTGAAGGGAAGAGAATGTGCCTTAATCAATGAAGACAGAGCTTTTTGCATGGTATAGCATCGCATTTAGAACTGATTTTTTTTTTTTTTACTTCTTCTTTGCAATATTTGAATATAATTCAAGAAAATTGTTCAGTAGTTGTGCATAAATGCTCTACAAAAGATGTATGAAAATAGTTGGTGGCAGCTTGGTTTAGCTGGAGATCAGATTATCTTTATGCACTATGTGTAGAGAGGTGACTGTGTAGGTTTACACTTATTTGGGGTTGAGTCTTGCTGAAAAAAAGATTAATATCCAATGATCTAGCGGTGGACAGTTCTGAGTTGGTGACTACATTAATAAGCATGAGTTTGAAATGTGACTACCTGACTACCTTTACTCAAAGGCTTTCTTTAACCTCTAATCCACTAACCATGATGTGTACAATGTAAAAAAAAATCTAAATTAGTAACTTTTTCTTAAAATAAGTGCTTTTTTCTTGTGAGGAGGTAAACGAGACTCTTTGCCAATGAAACAAGACAATTTGGATTTAAAATAAGAAAAAAAACGCATTGCCTTATTTTTAAGGTCATATTATTTATTGATATTATTTTAAGATTAGGAATACCCATTCCATTGGCAGAACACTTTATTTACCTACTCAAATTAAGGGTAAATTGACTTAATTTAAGACATTTTTACTGATTTACTTATTGATTTACTTAGAGTAGAAACTGACACAATTCGGGTAAAATGTTTTTCAACACAGGTTTTTTTTTTGTATTCTGTGCTTTGTAAGTCACTACCACTTTGCTGTGAATTTTAAATGTTACTTGTTCTTGAAGTGATTAGTAGATTCTTTTTGGCCACTGTGTTTAGGATTTCATCTAAACAGCTTGAGGAGTTTAGGTAGGTATCTCAATAGTAGAGATTATGATGTCGTATTGTTTTAAGCTTTACATCTGAAAAGGAACTCTTTCAACTATTGAAAAGGTTAGAGCCATAACTCAACAAGCCGAAGGTGGATATGTCAAGCAATTTCCAAACAGAGAGATTGACAGGTTCTTTTTTTTTCTTCAATATTTAACTTGTGCCAAATGGGCTCAGAGAATATGATGACTGCCCAACATTTTTCATTAGTTAAATGGAAAAAGAAGTAAATGTTCTGTGGGAGAGTACTGCAAATGGGATAAATCAACTGCAGTATTGAGAGGCGTAATGAACTTTAGGTTGACATTAAGAGCTGAATTGAAAACGGTCATATGAAGATTATTTTGTTGGATAAATAACAGGTTTACTGCAAGCTAAAGAGTTCCATAAAAACTGTGTGGCCTGTACTTTGACATAAACTTTTAATAATCCTACAAAAATGAGAATGATTGTGTGTTTTACTTAAGAGTACACCATGTTCTGGGGTGATTTCCACTGGGCAATGCCAGTATCACTATGATTGGTTGTTCTCACTTTTAGCTACAGCTTATCTTATAGACAATTTACATCTTCTAACAAAGATGTGTGAACACCTCAAAAATAAACTTATATGTCACTGTAAACAGAAAATGAAAACGTTTTATTTTTGTTTTTACCAAATCAAACTCATAGTTAGTAATATGCACTTTACTTTTTAGGCATACAATGATCAGTCTCAAAACCTTTAGTAGAAAATTCAAAAGGAAAAACTCTCAGAAAGTGATTTATAGAGTTTATTTTATGGTGTTTAATGCATCTTTAACTTTCCCCAGAGTTTGCTTTTAAATATCCATATGCTGAAACATGTTTTAGAGTGTGCTTTTTAAAATAAAAGAAATATATACATTACTACAGAACTCCAATTTGTAACCTATAATTATTTGGGTTTTGTTTATTTTAGTCTAGGCTGAAAAGAAATCTGCTTTGGGTCATTTTCTGCCTGTTGTACCTTCCCAGGAAGTTTCTTTTTAAAATACAGCTTGAAGAGTCACTACTTGTTGAGCACGGCAGGGGTTTTGGAGGGAGATTCATTTCCATGGTGACCACTGGTTATGTGAAAACAGGGTCAACCCACTGTAGCTGGGCCATTAGAGAGAAAGAGATAACACAACAAGGGGATACTATAAACAGAAATTTCCCTTACCGATTTAGATCTGACAAACAGTTTGCCATTCCTTAAAATCAAACATGAGCAAAGGCTATAAAGGGCAGCATAATTAGAAAGTATTAAATTCACAGGACAGGACATTCAGTAAAGCAGCTACTCTGAGATGAAACAGTCCCTCTACTCTATTTGCTTGCTGAAGTAATAAATACTTAAAATATTAAAGGTGAAGCAGAACAGACTGTATGCACTGTCTGTAATTTAAGATAAACATCTGACTTTTTTTGTTGCAAAAACTGAATCTAAAACTGACAATATGTTGACCCTGAGTAGGCCGCGTTCCCAACAGATCACTTATTGTTAGGGGTGCAGCTTTCAAGGTCTAATAGCACTGAGTGGTATTAATACAGACTAAACTTACTTTTTTAGCTATGAACTATAAAGTCTTTTTTTTTTTTTTTTGTAAAATGTCAAAAAATTAAATGTCATTTTTCTATTTTTTTTAACTACTCTTTTGGAAGTCAAAGGCAAAGTTTCACTCGAATTACTATGTCTTTAAACATTTTAGGGATGTACAAAGGATGCTTTCAAAACCTCTGAAGGATGAATTCTTCCACATCTAAGATTATTAGGCTTAAAATGTGATACTGTTAATGCAACACTTCAAACTCTGCAAAAATGAAAAGAAATCAGCCAAGATGCACCATATTGCCAAAATGTTTCCCTCCCCTGCCTTCAAATAAAAAATCTAGTATTCCAATCAACGCCACAGGTGTATAAAATCAAGCACCATGAAAGGCAGAATGTTTCAATTTTTTAATTGTAATTTTCTGGGCAATAGGGCTACCTAATTTAAAGTGGACAGACAAGAAAGGGACGAAAAGTGCTGGGAAGACATGCTACGAAGGCCTCGTGTTGTATACCCTACTCCTGGGCCACCACCATGCACAATGCTGACTATTTCCACAAACATCTTTTGTTGCTATGCTGTGCATTTGCGTTTGGTTGATGCAGGCTTTGCACCTTAGTTTTTAGAGCAAGAAACTAAGAAACTTCAGCATACCAAGAGATTTTGTACAATTTAATGCTTCCACTAATCTGGGAGCAGTTTGGAGATGAAACCTTTCTCTTATTACATGCCAGAGAACCACAAAGCAATAAATATATGGGTTACAAAGTTCAGTGTGGTTGAGCTCGACTGTTGAACACAGAGTCCGGACCTTAACTGATCATCTTTGGAGACGTAGAGCAGAGATGGGGAGTCATGTCTTCTCCAAAGATGATCTCACAAACATGCTAATTGAAAAATTGTCACAAATTCCTATAGACTTACTCCTAAATCTTGTGAACCACCTTCCCAGAAGAGTTAAGGTTCTTTTAAGGCATGTGACTGAAATCTAAGCAAAACAAAATAATATATGCCTCTATTTGCATAGATTTAGTCATCATATTGATTTGGTTTTGTACAAACATAGCACTTAAGTCCTAATGAACGCGAAAGTACCAGCTAATCTACTCCCATTCATAAATCAATGCAGACAGTCCTGAGCTACCGCTGGCTATGAGGGGCGCAACGGAGGGCAAAGTAGGCAGTTGTTGCCATGCTCTAAATTTAGAGCCTGTGAACTAAATACCAATGACAACAGACGAACTGACACCCACCCACTCAGTTGCCCCCTTACTCAGTCACACACTCAGTCGGGTCAGGATTCAGCCCCCTGTGCCCACCCTTCCAAAGTCCAGTATCAGAGATTGCTAGCACCCTCAGTGAGCTGCTCCACGGCAGCCTCTCACCTTTCTGACTCTCTACCTCAAGGAGACAGGCACAACTTGAGACGACCCCCTGAGGGGCCTTCAGGACAGGTAAGCATCACAGGGGCCTCTCTGCAGGTGTGGTTTCCGCCTCTAATGTGACACTTGTGCTTTGGATCAAGCATGACCCTGGTTACATCCTAGAGTTGTTTCCGCTGTTTTTACATAATGTATTTCTGCAGTTCATACTCGTTCACTGATTTTTAGGATTATGCAAAATTATTTATTGAATCCTTAAAAAAGAATTGCATGACTTCCTTTGTCTTAAGTGTTTTCGACTGGAAAAAAATCACCTGTGCCTGTGTTCCTTAACAGCTTGGTGTAAAATGTTCTCCTGATTTTTTTATTTTATTTTTTATTCACCTGCTCACATGTCTCCTGTGACAGCACCCGCTTCCATCCACGTCTCATCATCATGCCACCTGGGCAATTTCAAACATATTGATTCCCAGCTACCCCCTACAAGGCTGGCTGCCACGTCTGAAGAGCATGTGCTTGACGTTTAACAACCCAAGGTTATTTAAAGGGATGTGCTAACTTTGCCCTTTTCACCACCCTAATAAATTCTGTCTGCTTCGGTGGGTTTTTGTGCGTGCTGTGGATACTCGATGTCGGTCAATCAATGGCCGAAAATGCCTCTTGTGTTGTCTCTCGTTTTTCTTATCTGAACAGCTTGTGCTGATGTGTGGTGTCTCCTGTGACTTTTCTCTGCCTCACAGTAAAGAATTCCCAGAGGCAGCCATCATGTCGCAGTTTTCGACCATGACTACCAGGGAAAGGAAAATGCAGGCAGCAGCAATCTGCAGAGAGGTTCAAGGCCAAGAGGGTATCTGTTTTAAATATCTTTTTAGGTTTTATGGTTTTAACCGCAATCTAAGTTATTTCACCCATTTCTTTATTTGTTCATGCACAACAATTTACATGAACAAGTAAATATTTTTAACAGTCCTAAGAAATTATCCCTTTATCTTTGTCATTCAAATGTGGTATTCTGAGGCAAGGACAACTGTGCTCGACAGGAATAGGGGTGTTTGAAGGCATCTGACAGCTGAAAGATACTACGGCAAATTATAGATCTCATATTTGGATGCAGGCCGGTGACATCAACATGATCAGCATGCAGTAGCATGAGGAGCTAACCACAAAACAAGTGGCAGACATGAGTTGAAGTGTAGAAATCAAATTTCATCATTCATCATAATGGAAGTATTGTGGCATCAGCAGTTTATTTTTACAGGGCTTTTAGCTTGTCTTTTGTATTTGTGGGGAGAAGGGTTAAAGCACTTTGGTGTTCGGTAACAAAACTTTTAATTTTTTTCAAAATTATTAACACAAATTTGATTTCATAAATTAAGAAAATGTAGTGTATTATTTTAAAATGGATGAAAACTAGGCGTTTGTCCTTTAGCCCGTTATTCTTACAGTAAATTCTGGTGTAATCCTTTCCCTTCACAACTCTTCTAATTATTATACAGTGTCAACCTGTGGGTGTAATATAATTACAGAACCGATACGGCTGCTGATTAAAGGTGTGTTTCATTTTATATTATTGAACAAACAGTATCAAGAAAATGAATAAACATAGCAGAGTAATTATATGAAATAATGTCCAAATCCTTGAACATCTTATAACACATTACTAAGTCTATAGTCTGAAAATAAAAGTTAATCAATGCATGGTGGTCCCCCTACAGGTGTCGAATTCCAGTGCTGGTGTCCTGCATGTTTTACTTGAGCTTCATACCCCTGTCCTTATCCAACCCAGTCTCATGGGAAAATGTACCCCCACTACGTTGGTCCACACTGCAAAACGTAGTGGAGGTACATTAATGGCCATTTTTTTGTGGTACTGTTACGTTTCTCCTGCCTATACGCTTTCTATTGTTTTACGTCCTAGTCACGTGACTTTCAAGATTCCAGCTGGGAGAAGAAAAAAATATATATATATGGCCGACATTCGCTCATTTTTTGTGGAAAGATTAATGACTTGAGTTTGTTTTTGCATTAAAATGAGTTTTGATTACATTTCTAGTGAGAAATGTATAGTTTGTTGCCAGAATATTTACTCAGGGAATGTACATATTCACTTGCTTGTTCGTTTCTTGCAAAGATTTTTCAAGATAATGTGAAACTGTAACATTTTGGTATAAACATGGCTGAGATTTCTCTAACTTTTAGTGGGAATATCAATAATTTCAATCAGTTTCTGCATTTAAATGGGTTTTTGATTACATTTATAGCGAGAAGTGTAGGGTTTATTTACATAATATTTACTTAGTGAACATACATAATCACCCGCTTGCTAGTTTTTGCTACGTTTTTCGGATCTCGTCAGGATTATGTGAAATTGCAACGTTTTGGCTGCTACCCATCGCCTAGCATTTAGCTGCCGCCCCGATTCAACATTGAATTCTTTGTGATTTAACTCTATCTGACGGATCAAACCCTCGCCACTGCGTGCGTTGCGTCTGAGGTGGATTTTCAGATCAATGCATTACGTCGTGGCATACGGGAGAAAATAATTAAACTAGTTAAAAAAAGGATCATGGGTTAAGATCGGATGTGTTTTATTTGGAAATCTACCGGATCCTTTGTGCATTTCACTTCCTGTTTGGTGCGATCTCATTGATGGGTTTTGACCAGATCTTGACCAAAGAGGAACTAAAAAAAAATAAATAAAACAATTTAAATACACAACCAGCATATCTGGAATCAATGACAGAGAGCATACATAATCACCCGCTTGCTAGTTTTTGCTACGTTTTTCGGATCTCGTCAGGATTATGTGAAATTGCAACGTTTTGGCTGCTACCTATAGCCTAGCATTTAGCTGCCGCCCCGATTCAATATTGAATTCTTTGTGATTTAACTCCATCTGACGGATCAAACCCTCGCCACTGCGGCGTTGCGTCTGAGGTTGATTTTCAGATCAATGCATTACGTCGTGGCATACGGGAGAAAATAATTAAACTAGTTAAAAAAAGGATCATGGGTTAAGATCGGATGTGTTTTATTTGGAAATCTACCGGATCCTTTGTGCATTTCACTTCCTGTTTGGTGCGATCTCATTGATGGGTTTTGACCAGATTTTGACCAAAGAGGAACTAAAAAAAACAAAAAACAATTTGAATACACAACCAGCATATCTGGAATCAGTGACAGAGAGCGACTGGGACCAGAAGTTTATTAATTTCTCCCCACTGATTTCCATTCAAAATGTTTTCGATCCCACCGGGCTCTAGGGAAGGGGCGGGCATACCGCCACCTACTGTTCATGAGTGTGTAGCCACATTGTTTTACATCTATTAAATTCTATTTTTTTATTTTGTATTCTGAAGATAAATAAATAATGCTTTCCTTAATCTATAAATATCTTTTATATTTCCTTTATTTCCCAATAATCCTTTAAGACTCCATTCTTGGCCTGTCCTTTCAACTCTTTTCAATTTCTTCCTTTCAGGTCCAGATGTTTTAAAGTTCATCAATACGTGTTCTATATTTTCTAGCTCTCCACATCCTTCACATTTATCATTATTTTTCCTCCCTATTAAGTATAAATTGTCATTTAAATAAGTATGACCTACTCTTAATCTGATCATTATTATTTTTTTCCCTTCGGTTTCTCTCATTAATATTTCTATTTAAAACTGACTTTTGTACTTTATATAACCTTCTTCATTTTTATCTTCATTCCACCTTTTTTTTTTTGCCATTTTTCAATTTCTTTCCTCTTAATAAATGATTTTCCTTCCCCTTTGGGGAAGGAAAATCAGCTATTGGGATCAGGCATCAGGTTCAATTTGCATATTTTCTTAGCCAAAACAAGGATTTGTTGGGCTACTGTTATTCTGAATTGAAAAACGTCCTGAATGGAAAGTCTTCAAACTTGAAAAACAAAGTCCAAAGTTTGTTTGTTTTTTGTTTTTTTTGGAATGATTATGACCTGGATGTCTAAGAATCTTCACCAGCTTATCAGGGAAATGAATGCCCACAATGTCTATATTCTCCAAAAGAGAATAACAGAACAGACCTTCATGAGGCCCTTGTTAAAGCTATGCATATATTTATGCATCTATGCTCTTCAAATAACTTTCTGGTTCGATGCAACATTTACATTAAATGGGTTGAGAGGTTGTTCTTTACCAGTAAATACATAAAAGATTCCCAGATGACTGCCGATACAAACTCTCCCCTATAAAACCTGAAACTAATTCTTATAAGAGAGTAAAATCTGTATTAGTCTTCATTAAATGTAGCATATTGTTGTACATAATCGATTGCTTTATTTTTGGTGTCAGCTTTTGGTCAATATACTAACCTTAAAAGGTCAAAGTGGGAAAATGTAGTAGTAGTAGACAAATTAGCAATTAGAGGAGGCAATAACAATTACAATTCCTTTAGGGAAAGGGGAAGAAAAATAATTTATTAAGAGGAAAGAAATTGAAAAATGGCAAAAAAAAAAAAAAGGTGGAATGAAGATAAAAAAGGAAGAAGGTTATATAAAGTACAAAAGTCAGTATTAAATAGAAATATTAATGAGAGAAACCGAAGGGAAGAAATAATAATGATCAGATTAAGAGTAGGTCATACTTATTTAAATGACAATTTATACTTAATAGGGAGGAAAAATAATGATAAATGTGGAGGATGTGGAGAGATAGAAAATATAGAACACGTATTGATGAACTTTAAAACATCTGGACCTGAAAGGAAGAAATTGAAAAGAGTTGAAAGGACAGGCCAAGAATGGAGTCTTAAAGGATTATTGGGAAATAAAGGAAATATAAAAGATATTTATAGATTAAGGAAAGCATTATTTATTTATCTTCAGAATACAAAATAAAAAAATAGAATTTAATAGATGTAAAACAATGTTGCTACACACTCATGAACAGTAGGTGACGGTATGCCCGCCACTTCCCTAGAGCCCAGTGGGATCGAAAACATTTTGAATGGAAATCAGTGGGGAGAAATTAATAAACTTCTGGTCCCAGTCGCTCTCTGTCACTGATTCCAGATATGCTGGTTGTGTATTTAAATTGTTTTTTGTTTTTTTTAGTTCCTCTTTGGTCAAAATCTGGTCAAAACCCATCAATGAGATCGCACCAAACAGGAAGTGAAATGCACAAAGGATCCGGTAGATTTCCAAATAAAACACATCCGATCTTAACCCATGATCCTTTTTTATGACTAGTTTAATTATTTTCTCCCGTATGCCACGACGTAATGCATTGATCTGAAAATCAACCTCAGACGCAACGCACGCAGTGGCGAGGGTTTGATCCGTCAGATGGAGTTAAATCACAAAGAATTCAATGTTGAATCGGGGTGGCAGCTAAATGCTAGGCTATAGGTAGCAGCCAAAACGTTGCAATTTCACATAATCCTGACGAGATCCGAAAAACCGTAGCAAAAACTAGCAAGCGGGTGATTATGTATGCTCTCTGTCATTGATTCCAGATATGCTGGTTGTGTATTTAAATTGTTTTTTTTTATTTTTTTTTTAGTTCCTCTTTGGTCAAAATCTGGTCAAAACCCATCAATGAGATCGCACCAAACAGGAAGTTAAAGTTAAATGCACAAAGGATCCGGTAGATTTCCAAATAAAACACATCCGATCTTAACCCATGATCCTTTTTTTAACTAGTTTAATTATTTTCTCCCGTATGCCACGACGTAATGCATTGATCTGAAAATCAACCTCAGACGCAACGCACGCAGTGGCGAGGGTTTGATCCGTCAGATAGAGTTAAATCACAAAGAATTCAATGTTGAATCGGGGCGGCAGCTAAATGCTAGGCGATGGGTAGCAGCCAAAACGTTGCAATTTCACATAATCCTGACGAGATCCGAAAAACGTAGCAAAAACTAGCAAGCGGGTGATTATGTATGTTCACTAAGTAAATATTATGTAAATAAACCCTACACTTCTCGCTATAAATGTAATCAAAACCCATTTAAATGCAGAAACTGATTGAAATTATTGATATTCCCACTAAAAGTTAGAGAAATCTCAGCCATGTTTATACCAAAATGTTACAGTTTCACATTATCTTGAAAAATCTTTGCAAGAAACGAACAAGCAAGTGAATATGTACATTCCCTGAGTAAATATTCTGGCAACAAACTATACATTTCTCACTAGAAATGTAATCAAAACTCATTTTAATGCAAAAACAAACTCAAGTTATTAATCTTTCCACAAAAAAATGAACGAATGTCGGCCATCTATATATATTTTTTTCTTCTCCCAGCTGGAATCTTGAAAGTCACGTGACTAGGACGTAAAACAATAGAACGCGTATAGGCAGGAGAAACGTAACAGTACCACAAAAAAAATGGCCATTAATGTACCTCCACTACGTTTTGCAGTGTGGACCAACGTAGTGGGGGTACATTTTCCCATGAGACTGGGTTGCCTTATCAAACAGACAGTGAAGCAGAGCTATGAGGCTGATGGTAATTCTTAAAGGGACGGTGTGTAAGATTTATTGCCATCTAGTGGCGCACTAAACGAATTGCAAATGACAGATTGGTACCTCCTCTTTAAGCGTGTGAGAACTATTAAGGATGCCATGGAGTGGCATTTACTAACCGCACCTAATAGCTGTTGCGTCTGAGCTCATCCAATGTAGGCTAGCAAACCAGCCGTATCTGCCTTTTTTCTAACACAGCACCTGGTAAAATCTGCACCAATGTTGTTTCTCCTAGTTAAATCTTTTTCCTTCTTTTTAATTATTTTTTTTTTTGCCTCTCATTTAACAAAACATACAGATGTTCCTTCATTGCTACAGAAAGTGGAAGATAGAATGATCTACAGTTTAAACCCATAATGCCAACATGTCTGTCCTCTTTTGGCTTCTCTAATCAAAATTCCCGACACAACACGGCACCTCCCACTTTCTGCACCACCCCTAAGCTTTGAGAGTCATCTTCTTTTCTAGATCATGTCATTAGACTTACACAGAACATGTATTTATCAAAGCAATACTAGATTTTTGCTCACAAAAAGCCTAATTTGTTACACACTGTCCCTTTAAGTAGTTGCAAAGACTTATAACCTTAACTGAAGATTGCTAATAGACAGTTATGTGACAGACATATTACAAGTTATGTCAGTGGTATTTGGTAATTTAGCAAGGAAACTGTGCAGATAACCCTTCAGAGATCTTTAACAATGATAATTATAGAAGGATTTACAGATGATGAAAGATGGGGAGAATGAGGTATACAGCAAATGGTGGGATGGAATATGAGGCAGTATAAAGGAAGAATCCAGAGGTTTATTTAATGAAGCCAAGATAGAGGGACTAATTAAAAGAAGAGGCCTAGTTAAATGAGGAAGTCTATATAAGAGAGACAAGTATGGCGAAAGGAAAACATTGAACAGGGAGAAACAAATGTATAAAGAACAGAACAAAAGAATGATCCAGGAAACAAAGACAAAAACTTTTAGAATCTAATAACAATAAAAGGGTCCTCACGTTGAAACACACCGAAATTCCTGTATAAATCAAAGGTTGGGATGAAGGAACGCCATAATAGTTCCTGTTTTATTTATTTTTGCCAGAGGCGATGTAGAGGACGAGCAAACATGAAGAAAGGGTTCTGTCAAATGAGAGCAAGATGTAACTTTCTTTTAAGGTGCTGATGACCATGAGTGGCAATACAAGTTGCCCCAAACACACTCAATTCATCTGAGAATCTGGCATAACATAAACATTTATTTTCTCAGATTTACTGAGCTTAACATATTTTGCAAATAAGATTGTATGAAAGTTTCACTCTAGATGTTGAAAGCTAATAAAGCTGTAGTAGAGCTGAAAATCTCAGCAATTAATGACTGTGAAAGTATTTTCTGTGGGGGGTACAAACAAATGTTTACTGTCACAAGACAATGTTTCATTTAGCTCCACTTCCCTCCTTAATTATGCATTTTATAACATGCATACAGGTCACATAGAATCCTAATGAAATACATTTTTTATTAGGATACAATTGATTTTTTTTTTTGCTAGTTTTCGCAGACACTGTAGGTACAAAAGTTTTTTTTTTCCAGTCGTCTATTGTAACAAATGCACATAAGATCTTAATACTTTTGTCTCCTCTCCCCATCACTCACAGATGCACACATGGATCTTGGGAAGAAAGTGAGTGTCCCTAAAGACATCATGCTGGAGGAGCTGTCGCTTGCCTCCAACCGGGGATCCCGTCTCTTCAAAATGCGGCAGAGACGTTCCGAAAAATACACCTTTGAGAGCTTTCAGAATGCAACTAACAACCTACTAAATGTAAGAAAAAAAAACTTAGCAAAACTACATAAGAAAGCTACTGTAGTTCACACATCACATGGAGTTAGTATAGAGATTTAAATTTAAAGTATGAACCAAGTCCATGAATGAGTCCACTGCCCTAAAGTAAATGTGCAAAACATTCCAACTGTGATTAATATCTTGTTTAATTTAAACAAAAATGTATTTCCAAAACTTTCTTTGTTGTTTGTTTACAATTTAGGCACAAGCTTATAATTACTGAGGAAGGATAATAGACTGTGGGAAAAAAATTTGATTTGCTATCTTTCAAATGGTGGCAGCAGGGATTGTACTATACAAATACATATATACAAAATCAAATACTTTATGTTATCCTTCAAAATACATTATCAAATTAAACTCAACTGTAGCCATTTCCTGTAGAACAAATGTATTTATGCAAATTTCAAAATATGTAGAAAAGGCTAAAGTAATTTTAAAACACACAAAAAAGCAACAACAAAAAAAGAATAGTTGAAAACTCCAAAAAAATTAATAAATAAAATACAGTGTTGAAAATATCAACTACAAGAACATGCAATAGAAGCAATTACAGTTTATTGTTAAAAATACTTTATTAATAACGGCTTTTAAGAATAGTTTAGAATAGTTTCAAGAGCAATAGATATAACTGTAAGTATCTTAACAACAACAGGAAAACAGGTATACTTAAATAACAGTAGTTAAATAAATAAAATGATAGACACAGAGTTCCTAGATGTTTTAAATTTAGTTGAATTTCAATATGAGTAATAGGTCTCCTTTTTCCTATGAGGTAGAGGTATGTATACAACCACCCCACCACCCCCCAAACACACACACCCTTCATTCATTTCTTTAATAAACATAGAGAAAGAAAAACAAATAACAGAGAAAGGTTAAAAAATTGCATTTCTGCACCATTAAGGTGATTCCAAATAATCAGGTTACTTATGTTGCCTGGAAATTTTGTACAGAGGATATGGGCTCTCCTGTTAGAGCTTATTCTGATGGTCCATCCGTATCAATTCTGCTACACATGATATTTATGCTTGTGAATGTGTTTAAAACTCTGTTCTTGTCTTTTCTCAAAAGTTTTATTACAAATTCTACATAATTTAATCTAAAACTGCCACTACAGTCACTGAGACACAACAGACATAAAGCATTAGAGTAATAGACAGCCCTTGTTTTCTGAAATGTCTTGCTCTGAAAGTGTATTCCATGAAGAATAGAATTAACATGACAAAAAATTATATCCCTGACCTGGGTTATCTTGACCTGAGCTACAGACACTACAGTCATTGTACTCCATATTATATTCACACTGAAAATCTTCTACCAGGACATACAAAGCCTTATTAATGTGCTTTGTGTGCAGGCAAAGCGCCAAGTCAGCATTTGTCTCATCTCTGCCCGACCTGTCCAGTGTAAAATGTACAGTAATCAAGCCATACTAAGCTTCTCTTTGTTACATCTAACTAATAGCAGAGCTCTAACCTTCTATTTGTGTGCATGTATTTAAGACCAGCATACCTCACATTGTTCCTTTAAATTCAATTTGAATATATATATATATATATCTTTGAAGTATCAGGCTCATATCTTGCTTTATTTATTGCTTTGGGGCGATAGAAAAATTTAGTTTCAAGTTGTCAACATTTCCTGAGGAAGTCCTTAAGTAAATCATCATAAATATCTTTCCAATGGATAAAAGCTGAGAGCCTGGGCTGCAGTACAATTCATCTCAAGCCAAGAAAACAATGTGTCCAAAGTCGATAGAGAAAGGAACAGCATGCAGCTTCTCTGTTTAGCAAAAAAATACTTTTTTGTTTCCAGAAAAGACAACAACTTTAAAAAAAACTGGAAAATACAGCCTGTCAACAAGATGTTCACTATGTGTAGTGCACACAAACACCTCATCTAATCTTTCACACTTTATGTCATTAAAGATACTTATGTTGGTCTCACATTTGTAAAACAAAATCCCATCCAGAAGATGTGAGTCTTTATAGCATATCTTTCTAATTAAAAGCATTTTTTAAAGATGAACCTATTAAGAAATGCAAGGGAGTTTGGCTGTAGACCTGTACTTTCAGGACCCTTTGTTGCAGACCTGCAAAACGGGTTGTTCTGCACTGTCAGGACCTTACGTTATTCCGGAAGTTGAACTTGAAGCCTTCAGCACGTATTTGCTGCCAGATGAGAGTTTATGACAGTGTTAGCACAGCCATTCTCTACTGTCGTATAGAAAATGTCTTATAGACCAAATGACCTTTTGCATCCAGCGATCCAAATAAAGAGACTAATGTCTATTTTTTGCACATATCTATTTTTCCAGATAGGAGTTTGGTGGAGAGAAAAATTGTGCCTGTACATAAGTTTCCAGCATAACAGCACTAGCTTCAAGGGGATTATATCTAAGCTAGCTTTTACTTTAGAAAGCCTTCAAATCAGTTTTGCTTTTACTTTGAAAATCTGCAAATAAACTTCCGGTTCTAACGGCGCAGGGGACCTCACAGTGCAGCCAGGTTCCTGACAGTGCAGCTCTGCAGCCAGACCCCTCTCAAGAAATTAACAATTTAGCTTTGATCTAAGAAAGCTTTTAAAAACAATCTATAACAACTCATAATTTTAAATAATGATTTGTGTCTATGAAATGAAATGGAAAGTTTTATTTTTTTATTAAAGACATCACATACTGGTAACATTTATTCTGTAGCAGTGGAGTATCTTAGCAACAGTATAATTATTATTTCTGTAAGCTTAAAAACAACAGACACTATTTAGACAAACATTGTCTATACATCATGTGATCGTTAATGCCTTTTTCTGTGTGAATGCTCAGACAAAAATGAACACAGAACAAAGAAGGCTGCCCAGCTGAATCCAGTAAGATCAAATTTGTTTTTTTTTAGTTCACTGCACCCTTTGTATTTCCATCTAGTTTACATCCAAGGTTCTTGCAAGGATTTGTTTTTTTTTTCTTCTTTCTGTAATATGCTGAACATCACTCTGTGCCTTTCTGTAAGATTCTGTTCAGTTGGACTTTTGATTGATCAAAGGTGGGATTATCATCAATGAATCTCATTAACTTAGCTAAAATAAAATCAATTTAACAGCAAGGCATTGGTCATTTAAAGTTTGTGTTTGGACAGACAGGGGTGCACCAGGGAGGTCTGCAAATGTTTGTCTGCCCCACAGATTTTTTGTGAGCGTATTGGAATTATATGCAAGGATGTAAAATAACACTTCCAATATGATGATCAAGGTTAAAAACAACAGATAACCAAAACAATGTGCTTGACTAATACCATATTTTCAAGACTATAGAGAGCACCTCACTATAAGCCGCGCTTTAACAAACTGGAAAATTACACAAACATTATAAGCCACACCAGGCTATAAGCTGCTGATATCTACTGAAAAGTTGCGGCTTATAGTCTGGAAAATGCACTCAAATGTTCACTCAATGTTCCTCAATGATTAATTCCAAACCCACCCTTGCCTTCAGCACCTTAAAAGTTTTTAAAAATCAACCCTCTATTTCAATTGATTTGTTTATTGTGGGAAAAATATTTGTCATTAAAAACCCGAATCCAACTGCTTGGTAAAAATGGTATGCTCTTTGAAACAACAGTAGCATGCTTGCAAACACTTCCTTGTTAAAAAGTCATACAACGTACGTAGTCATTGTAACTCCATTTGTTTTTCAGTTTTTGATAAGTATGCTGAGTGGAAAAATATCCAACACTTCAGCAGAGTTGCTCCCCACATAGAATGTTTGATGATGTGGGCCATGTTGTTTTTCTAATGGCCCTATAGCTTGTTAAAGTGCATAGTACCAAAGCATCTATGAAATACCTATCTTTTGAGGTATAATAAAAAAAAAAAGAAAGGCATAGATACATAATGCAGGAAAAGCTAATCAGAAATAAAATCAACAGTTTTCCACTGCTTCAATCTTTCTTCCAGAGCCAAACAGTTTCCCAGACAGTGAACGAGTCCACCAGCGGCAGTGGGAACGATCTGAGTTTGGAGCAGCCGTGCAAAGTGACATCCAACACACAAGATACCACAATGGTGCCAAACCCGGACAGCATCGCCCCGGGTGCAGTAACACTGCTGACACAGAACACCACAACATGTCTCAAGGACCCTGTGGAATTATATATCGTTGATACACTGTGGCTAAAACTGTCTAGCTATGTTGTAATGACTATCTGGTTTGCTTGTAACCAACTTCCTCCTGAAAACCCTTAATTATTTCCATAATTTAATCAAAGTAAACTTTGTACAAGCAGAGATAATTTTATCTAATATATCCTAAGAATTAAGTGTACAAGCCAGCTTTATCTTCAGATGAAGACACTAAGAGGACGTGGTGTTTACAAAGTTCTGGATGTACCCTGTTTTGATGAGATTTCAACTATTTTTATTGTTTGCACTGATGCAGGCTTTGATCACAAAGCAAAACATTCTCTTCTTGCCTGGAATCTACTTCCCTCAGGCAAAAATGTGATTACACTTTTGACTTATTATCTCCTTGCTTTGTTTTCTGCCTCCACATTCCTTCTTTATTCCCTTAAAACTTCTTTTAAATCCCAACAAAGATTTGCCATACAGGACGTATTTCCTGTTTGCCTCTCGGGCCACTGATACCATCTGCTTTGCGCCCACATCCTCCTCTCACGTCCTAAAGTTTTGTCCAACTGACAGAAAACCAACGCGGCTGTAAGGATGAGTGCATCCTGGGGGTGGGATAGGTGGGGTTATTTCTGGATCAGACACCACCCCTACTGTATCTGAATGAAGTCACCCCAGCTGTAGCCGAAATTAGGCCAAAGAGCATGTGTTATTAAATAGTTAAAATGTCCTAAAATAATTGATCTGATCCCCATAGAGCTGAATTTGTCATTCTAGTTTGGACCTTGAGAGATATTGTAAAGACTGTGGTCAAAGATATCAAACCATTCCTCTGAAAGATGATTTTCTCTCTTCGTTTTTGCAGGGTGTGTCAAAAATATCTGACTTCAGCTACACTATACCTCCAAAAAAAAAGGGCTTTGTTACAGACTCTCCCAAAAAAATCATAAACATCCCCTGCAGGTCTGTTTGCTCTCTCCTTCTTCCTCCAGGGCAAAACATAAACTCAGGAAAGGAGGAGGAATTTTTCATTGTGAGAGGTCAAGAGGTGAACCGGTAACCGCCCCCACCCTACCCACCCGTTCAGAACGTTACATAACAGCTGAGCTCGTGAGCCCCCCTGAGTGAAGCACTGAGGTTGAAGAATAGTGCTTTGGAAAGGCCTTTCCCTATCAAAACCCATGCACGATGCGGGGAGACTTGCCTGCATAAGCTACCCCCTTGATTTGTTTTGCTGTGAACTTTAACAAGCATAAAACATGGGATAGCTGTATCACATGCCTAAGTAAAGATTTTACACCTCCCATCTTCAGCCAGGGATGTGCCTAAAGTGCATAGAGCATTTTATCAAATAAAACACATTCTATACTTTCTATTTTCTTTTAACTAAGAAACCTCACAATTTCTGTTTGCATTATACCAAAAGCTTTTATTTTTGGATGATGGATTGAAATGTCCTCTCAGCAGAGTTTGGGATAAAATGTTAATACTTGCTTCTCTACTTCTAACACACCTCATGAAAAAAATGGATTTATATTCAGTTTAATTCAATTCAGTTTATTTATATAGTCCCAATTCACAACACACGTCTTCTGATTCAGTTCTATACAGGTGGAATCTATTTATTCATTAGACACTTCAAAAGCCATTTGGTTGCATTTGGGCATTTTATTTAGTAATTTCCTTTTTTTTTTTTTTTAAGAATACCTACAGTAAAAGGTTAGAGCTTTTCATAAAATGGAAACATTCCTCCTTCACTATTTTCACTTTGTGCTATTCTGTCAGAGAAAAGACCTATGAAAACATACAGATTTGTGGTTGAACCTAAAATGTGTGATTTGAAAATAAAGGTAAAAAAAAAAGGTGAATAGACAGTTTCACAAGGCAGTGTAAAATTATTCTAATCTTTATTTAGGTTGTTCTGTGTAAAAAGAAAAACTTTAAGATGACAAAGCATTTATAAATAATAATTGGATGCCTGGAAAGGGTAAGACACTTGTTTATTATTTGACATGGAAAGACCCTTAATTCATGTCTGTGTTATATGACTTGTTCAGGATATGGGGGTCCTTTGAAAGACATCCCTCCAGAGAAGTTCAACTCTACAGCTGTCCCAAAGTCATACCACTCACCCTGGGAGCAGGCCATCATCAATGACCCTGCTTTGGCTGACACACTTATCTCTCGTATGCCTGAGCTGGAGCACCGAACAAACCTACCAGGATACAAAAGCTTCAACAGGTAACATATCATAACATATCAAACAGGGTAGTCCCTTATATAAAACTATAAAGTTTGTATCTGAACAACAACTTGAATAGAATAGAATTGAAATATCAAAGTTCCATGAATCCATTCATCCATGAATCTATCCCTGAATCCATCCCTGAATCCATCCATCCATCCATCCATCCATCCATCCATCCATCCATCCATCCATCCATCCATCCATCCATCCATCCATCCATCCATCAATGAATCAATCCATCAATGAATCAATCCATAAAGGAATTAATCCATCCATTCATCAATGAATGAATCCATCCATTAACCCATCCATCCATCCATCCATCCATCCATCCATCCATCCATCCATCCATCCATCCATCCATCCATCAATGAATCAATCCATCAAGGAATTAATCCATCCATTCATCAATGAATGAATCCATCCATTAACCCATCCATCCATCCATCCATCCATCCATCCATGAATCAATCCATCCATCCATCCATCCATCCATCCATCCATCCATCCAACCATGAATCCATCCATCCATCCATCCATCCATCCAACCATGAATCCATCCATCCATCCATCCATCCATCCATCCATCCATCCATCCAACCATGAATCCATCCATCCATCCAACCATGAATCCATCCATCCATCCATCCATCCATCCATCCATCCATCCATCCATCCATGAATCAATCCATCCATCCATCCATCCATCCATCCATCCATCCAACCATGAATCCATCCATCCAACCATGAATCCATCCATCCATCCATCCATCCATCCAACCATGAATCCATCCATCCATCCATCCATCCATCCATCCATCCATCCATCCATCCATCCATCCATCCATCCATCCATCCATCCAACCATGAATCCATCCATCCATCCATCCATCCAACCATGAATCCATCCATCCATCCAACCATGAATCCATCCATCCATCCATCCATCCATCCATCCATCCATCCATCCATCCATCCATCCATCCATCCATCCATCCATGAATCAATCCATCCATCCATCCATCCATCCATCCATCTATCCATCCATCCATCCATCCATCCATCCATCCATCCAACCATGAATCCATCCATCCAACCATGAATCCATCCATCCATCCATCCATCCATCCATCCATCCATCCATCCATCCATCCATCCATCCATCCATCCATCCATCCATCCATCCATCCATCCATCCATCCATCCATCCATCCATGGGTTAGAGGCAGGTACAGTCTGTTCGCAGTATTTCATACATTCACACCATTTATTGAAATGCATTTCAATGCATGCTATTTAAGCAATTGAAATTCATAGTTTTTTAATTAATTTAATTCAAGCACATTGGATTTTGACATTTAGATAATCCCTGTCGTTAGCCTCCCTTTCTCTCAGTTAAAAGTTTTTGTATGTTGTCTGGTAGCAGTTTATTTCTAGCTTTATACATTAATTGTAAGGTTTGAAATTCTACCAGATCAGAGAATTTAAGCAAGCTGGAATGAATAAATAATGGATTACTGAGGTCATGATATCAACTCTTATAAGTTATTCTAATGGCTCATTTCTGCAGTGTGCATAGTGGTTTGAGTAATGTCCGTTAGGTTTAACTACAGACTTCCACACAATAGACCTGTTGCAAACTTATCTTTATCTATGGAGCTGTTAATTTCCTCTATTAATTCCAGGACTGTCAAAACCTCTGTGATCTAAATTCATACTGACTTTCAGAAAGTAGTTTGTGTTTATCATTGAAATCTTCTAGTCTGGTTAGTCTGGTAATAAAGGGTTTTATTTTCTAAATCTGTGAAAACTATGTAAAGAGAGAAACAGGCCTATAATTTGAAAGTTAGTGTCTGTGTATGTATAAAATCTGTTTATATATCTCTATATATTTTAAATTTACCAGTTTGGAAAGTGACCTTACAGACATGAGACAGTGGTTTAACAATTGCATCAGTAACTCTTTTGACTGATGTAATTTTAATGGCATCACATTTAGTTTATTTATACACTTACTGCAATGATCACTCCCTCCTCCACTGCTTTGAGTTGGGACCTTATCAGCTTTCCTGTCACAAAAATTTTAAACCACAATGTTTAATGCTTTATAATTCAGAAAATGTTTAGCTTTACTTAGGATTGCTTTGCTTTCCTCTGGACATGTCTGATGTAAGGCTTCCAGTAGACTTTGTAGTCAATAATCACACATGATACTTTAATTTAGTCATTTCTCCTCTACCCCATCTATTTAGACTTTTCCATATATATTTACTTTCTAATTTCTAAATAAATCTAACTTGGAGCTCTTCAAGACTCAAATGTGTTTTTGTCTAATCTGTTTTTTTAGCTTATTCATTTCTGGTGCTCTATCATCCAGGAGCTCCTGTAAGCTCTAACCTGTACAGAAAAGATTTGTGTCATCTGTAAGCAAAACAAAAGTAAATACTTTTGAAAACTTACATATGTTGTTTTGTAGAGAATAATTTATATAACCCCCAATACTGATCCCTGTAATGATATTGAGGTTGGAGTGGATAAACATTACCAATATAAAGTGTAGCAGTGATCAGAATATAACAATGTAGGAGAAAAAGAAACCACTTTAGAATAATGGTGCACAAGGGAATTAATATGAAAAAGTTGCATACTAAATATGGTGCAAAATGCAGTAGAACAATGAGTTGTGTCCTATTTAAAAAGGATTATAAAAATTCAGCAATGTTGATAGTAATAATGTTGCAAGTGTGGTGCAGAGTCCAGTTTAGAGTTCAACAGTCTGATGGCAGCAGGGAAAAAGCTGTTCCAGAACCTGCTGGATTTCAGGAAATGCTGTGAAGCCTCTTTCCAGACAGCAGCAGGGAGAACAGTCCATGGTGGGGGTGTGAAGGGGTCACTGATGATACAACGGGCTTTGGACACGCAGCACTGGGATGAAATGTTCATAATGGAGGGACACCTGGGGGAAAATGCCCAAGCATGTTGACTGATGATCATTTTCACAAACTGTTGGCTGCTACTTACTACTAACTTTTCATCCTCTCCAGAACACCCTCCATACAACGTCATGTTCTAATTTCCTAATGGGCTCTACGCACAACTCCACTACTTTCTGAATTTAAGGCAGCTCTTTTGTTTATTGCCTTTCATTACTGGATGAATTGATTATCCCAGGTGTGTCTTGCCATGGTTACTGAGGTCAGGCACACCTGGAATAATCAGCTCATCCAGTATAAAAAAACTAATCTGCAGTAGATTCCATACAGGTTTTAATTAAATATCTTTTACATAAAAGCATATCTAAACTACATATCTCTAATAGATAGAATCTTAATATGAAAGCTTAGATGTGGCAAATTGCCTCTTTTATTATGTAGTTTGTTTTTCACAGGATTTTCCAATTATTCACCATATAAGCTACATCTAACATCAAACTAACTTATAGATACATTTTATGGATATTTTAAGAAAACATGTTTACTATTGTTTAATAATAAGACATGCTTTTCATACAGTCTACTCCTAATGCCTATCTTCCAATCTATCATTACTTCCAAAGAAAGGTCATTTTTTGAAACATTACTTCACTAAAGCATAGCAATTCAAAAGCTGTATCATCTGTATCTTATTCTAATTAGCTATTTTAGTTATGTATGCAAACCCTACCAACATCTCAAACCCTGTTTACCTCTTTCTAATAATTTCAAACTTACAGTACAGCTCTTGGCTGCAGGCTTGCTTTAATTGGTTGCATAACTTTAAATGTCAAAGCAGTGAAACTCATTAGCACATGGGAAACAACATTAATACTGTCCCTCTGTCACCTTCAGGGTGGCAACCCCTTTCGGGGGCTTCAGCAAGGCGCAGAGACCCGAGACCATCACAGCCCTGCAGGAGGAGTCTGTCCAAGAAATCCCTGCTCTGCAGGGGGATTGTTCTCTGAACCGGCCATCCTTCAATAGAGTGCCTCTGGGATGGGTTTCAACCGGTGGCTCGGTCACACTCCCGAATATCTCTCTTGAGATCCCCCTCATCCCTGAATCAGAAGACCTTTGAATCCAAGGAGAAATGTCACAGGGGAGGTTGAGGAAGTAGCAACTTTAGCCAGGGTTAGTGTGGGCTGCGTTAGAGAATTTATTCCCAGCGAAACGATTAGATTGGTAGCAATCACAGAGCAAGATGTGAAATTATTATGTAACCATGTAAATCAAAATGTTGTATATCAACATGCACAAGAATGCTTTTCTTGAAATAAAGTGAGGCAAAAATGCAACAGAAGCTTTATCTTTGGTGTAATGCTTCGGGCATTTATAGTAAGTACTTCTATCCTGTGGAGTTTTAGTCTTGCAGCCAATTTCATAACATACCCCACTGCTGGAATGAGCAACACTCATCCCTCAAATCAGTTTCTGTGCATTTCCATCTCATTGTGTTGTGTGGGAGGCAGAAGACACATGTGAGCCAGTATTGCCTGCCTTGAGGAGTTGCATCTTGACAAATCAAATCTGCTTTGGTGACATGAGCGACCTGACTGATGTGTCTTTCACCTTGCGGCGCTGCCCGGTTGCTGGACTGGGATTCATGGCTGATTCGCTCATTGAGCTGTGCACAGACACTTATCTTCCCCTCTGTTTTATTACTGCAGGAGTTTCTTCGTGCAAAGCAGACTAGTTTGAAGGTGTGTCCAGGTTGGACAAGGTTGAGGTTGAAGTTCGCAGATATTTTATAGAAACTCTACTAATAAGGGGGGAATTAAAATAAATTTTTCTTTTATTGAAAAAAAAATGTCATAGTTGTGCACCATATTGACTAATGCATAAAGCTCATATGCTAGAAAAGAGGAAATTACTTTATTACTATGTGAGTGAAGTCAGTATTTATTAAAATCATTTCAATTAATTATGCTAATTACTTGGAATCTTTGTTACTGTATATTATAGGTATTTTATTAATGTATTTTTATTGTTTTTAATATATTCATTATTTTTTTCTTGCTTTTTATTTAATATTATTTTATTTTTTGTTTATTATTTTTTTCTTTTTTTTTATTATTACTTTTATTCTTTATTTGTAAGACTAAAGACTACCCATGAGAATGAATGAGCCTTGTCCAACCAGACCTTTATGATCAATTCCCACCATCTGCTCCATTCCTGGACCACTTTTAGCTCATACTGACCACTGCAAAATCAGGTGCATCTGACAAAAAATGTTCCTGATTCAATAAAAATTTGAGATTTTCAGATCAAGTCATGCAGCTACTGTATGGTAAATTGTCCGCCGTAAAAGTCCCTAAAACCTTACAAGATTACCATTGATGGTTGATGTTACCCATCTCCAGTCATCAGACAAGAGGCAGTTTTCAACCTGGACATGTCACCAGTCCATCACAGGGGAACAGACACCTTTGCCCATCCAAACCAAGAGTGTTTCAATATAAAACTAACAGAACATTATGGCCTGTACCTAACAAACTGACAAGATAAGTAATCCATCTACATTCTATTGCTACCATATTTGCAAACACTGGAAACTCTTACAAAACATATCCTATTGAGAAATCCCTTCATAACATGGCTCAGATTTCATCCTTTTGGATTATTTGATAAATCAAACTGTCAAAACAATGTTCTCATCCATGTTAGAGGGAGATTATTCACCACAGAAGGGAGGAGGTGGATGTTTCTGTTATGTTTGAATGAAGAAAACTTCAGATAGAAGCAGAGAGACACTGATTATACAATAATACTCCCATCCAGTGACTGTGAAATGCACCTGTTTTTGTGGCAGATATGTTTAACCTATAATCTTGGTTGCTGTTTTACAGACTGCTGCACCTTTGAATAGTTTCTCAAAAGCAGGCGATGTCCTTTCTGCTTCCAACGTTGTGTTGGGAAATACGTCTCGTGTTTCTTAGAGGCTTTTGACTAAGTCCAGCGTCAGCATTCCTTACTACTGTCGGAGGGCCTTTGGAATGTACAGCTCCTGGTGCCACGCCCTCCTCTGAGTACTGCTGAATTCCTCTGGCCTGTCTCCTTTCCTCGGCACACACCACAAAGACGCTGGCAGTGCAGTGCAGCCAGCGCCTCTGTCGAGGACCACAGAAGACATCCGGCATTGTTTTCAAAAAAGGAGATGTGAACTCTCTTTGAACTTTGGATACTGTGGGTGTGAAAATGCAGCAGCAGGAACGTTATTAGCAGGGACTGTAGTTCAGAATGAGAGCTAAGGAACACAGATGATATTATAATTAATCTGCAGCCATTTTCCCCTCCAGCTTTTTCCCCTTCGGCATGAGACGACACAAATATGGAACTGGAGCTGGATTAGTCCGCATAGAGTTTGTTTAGTGATTAATTATTTGTAAGAGTAATAAGAATGTGAAACCCCATTTGAAAGATTCAGAGAAATTTTCCATTACTTTTTAGCACTCAAACCAGCCAATTTTACGCCCACTTTAAATAAGAATAAAAATGAGTAGGACTTTGCTACAGTTTTTCTTACAGGGGTGGAAAAGAGGATAAGTGATGAGGAAGGAAACAAGGAATTAAGAAGGAAAGCTTTGAGGACAAAATGAAAGAAAGAACATAAGAAGGACAGAGTAACAAGAAGGATGGACAAAACGTTGGAGGGAACAAAACAAGAGAAGCAAGAATAGAAAAATAGAGAAAAACAGGTAATAAATAAAGGATGGTTGAAAAGAAAGATGGTAGGAAAGAAGGATTGGTCAGACAGCTGAATTATTGATGGATGGATCAGAAATTTGGATATAAAGTTGAAATATAAAAACATCTAGCGTTTTGTCAATGAAACTGTGCATTGGGAACTTTCCTTATACAACTTTTATACTGGCTGCATTTTCTCTGTCGACAAACAGTTTGAAAGACCCTCGGTGAGTTAAACAGATTATCACCGTAGATTCTGCACTAAGGGAAAATAATCCAACACACCTGACAGGCACTGAAGTGCAAAATGACTTCTGTTATGTAACAGGAAACCTGACAAAATGAGAACTGGTGTTTTTTTCTGTTGTCAACAGGTGCAAAAGGTGAGAGGTGTCAGGTTTCCTGCCGTTTCTAAATCCCCTCTTGGTTTTACTGCTCCATCTAAGTCCTCCGGGTCTCTATATCTTTATCAGAGCAGAACAATGAACCGTGCAGCCATTGCAGTCAGTGTCGTGTTTTAAAGCTTGAACTCCTCTGGGTTTCCATTTGCACACTCAGCAACTAGCTCTCAGTTTGCTATATGCTGCTGACACAGACAAGCGCTAAAAGGCCCAAGCCACTTGAATCGGGCAGCCGATATCCCAGAAGGAGTTCTTTAAGTGCGCATGGGCTAACAAGAAAACAAATGTGCTGCGAAATATCCACAAGGTCAGGGAGCTATGGTCTGTTCAACCAGGCAGAGAGCTTTTGGAACTTACTGTTCTGTTCATATGCAGATATTGTTCTAGGCATTTTGAAAAGCTAGAAATAATATGTATAATCATTTCATGACACATGCTGCACTGGAAAAAGTATGAAACATTCTTAAATGTTGTAACAATTGTGAAAATCCTCTACTCTATCTTTAAATAGAATACAAATATTGGAGTTTTAACAGCTCTGAATGTGAAGAAAAACAAATGTAAAGACCTGACAACTTTTTTAAAAGTGCTGCATTTCTAAATCTACATATTTCAGGTAACACACATATTTTCTGTACACCTGAGGAGCAGCAGCAGCTCTTGGATAATGTCATAACGGAAATGAATAAGCTAAAAAAAAAACTGGTTTGACAAAACCGAATAGCCCTTGATTAAAAAAAAGGTTATTTGGAAATAATAAAGGAAACATAAAAGTGTGAAAGTCCTAATAGATGAGGTAGAGGTAGAACACATAATGATATAAAATTCTTATTCTTCTAATTCTTGTGATTATTTTCAGAATACATCATTTAGAAGCATTGTAATTATTGGCAAAGCAAAATATTTTCTATATCATAAAGCATTGATATTCTCTACTAAAAAAATAAAATGTTTTGCTGAGAGACAGGAAGGGTATGAATCCAGAGATAATAAAACTTCCAAAATTGTAGCTACTTGAACAAACATGACAAGAGTTTGCATTTAAACAAAAAGAACAAACTCAGGGGTGAGTTAAGCAATGTCCAAGCAGGAGGCTTTTTTTAGAAAAAGAATCAAACTGGTTTACTTACAAAGACATGAGATGGAAGAATGTGAATGAAGATGTGTGTAGGCACGTGTGGATGTGTACATGTATGTTTATATATCAGTTAATTAATTAATTTATTCACTTGATGGACTTTTGGAGACTCATACCGGTAAGTTAAATATGAATGAGGGAGATTCTTAGTGTTTAGGGTTATAGGGAGAAGAATGGGTATGATTAAATAAGTTTTACATTATTTTAAAAACTTTTTATTTAATTTTTTTTACAGAACAAAGCAACAAGAACATCTGAGACAAGTGAATACAGTAAATTATAATAATAAATATATTCTGTACTTATATCCTGCTCTACATAATATTAATATTCTTCACATCTCAGCAAACATGGTACAATTGGTACAACAATATACAATAATTTAGTGGTATAAATATATATATATGTTAAAAAATACCCTCACAACTTAAAGGTATAGTGGAGGATGTTCTTTATCCGGAGGGATCATCAAAATAAGTGGTCCTTGTAATTTTCAGTCATTCTGGTGATATTTTACATCGGGCCGTCCTACATGCTTGGCCCCATTTTCACTTACTGGTTGTGAGTCTGACATAATGAAATGGGCTTTTGTATGCACTCGCATGTGTTCAATAGGCATTTCCTCTTGGGAGTGGGTACAGGGTGGTGCATGTGCATTTTTTTTTAATTTTTACCTTTAAAGAAGGTTTCCCAATTATTATAGATTATTATTATTATAGATTTTTTTCTTCCCTCTTGTTCCCTCTTTATGAATCCTGTAATTTAGAGAACATAATTATACAGGCTATATCATTAATTATGCACAAGGTTTACATGTTGTAAATTTGTAATTTTACTAGATTCTCCGGAATAAAATCATTCACTCATTTATTCATAAAAAATAACTGCCAATTTAAATTTACTTCCTCAAGTGCCATGATAGACTTGCCATCAGAACATTTATTGTCAATTTGCAGCTTATAAATATGTAAAAATATAAGATGACTAAAACACTGTTAGTCAGTGTGGTTGTGCAGGGCTGCCTGTGAGATAAGGAGAGCGGGCTTCAGGGCATGCAAGGAGGTTTACGGACTGAAGACA